AAAAAAAATTTACATGAATACATTTTGATGGAAGAAACCACTCATTAGTGATACTTCCCATGATTTTTTTAATTTTTTATTTTCTTAGAATTTTTATTTTATATTTCCAATGACTTAATTATATTATTATTAATTGATATTGGTAGAAAGAAGATCACGGCACCACTTACGTTTTAAACGTCTGGGTGGGTCTCCAGGTATGGACAAGGTTGAGAGGTTTTTTATTAGGGGATTTGAGTGGGAGAGTAATTTACTGTGGAATCTTTTATAGTAGGAAATGGCTTCTTCATGAACTGTTTTTAAGTTGAGATCGTTATGAAGTGTATAATTAGAGATATAAGGAGGTGCATTGATTAGTTTTCTTAAGACAATATTCTGAAAGCATTGAATTTTATTGGTATTGGATTTTTTAGCATTTCCCCATAACTGAAGGCCGTAAGTCCATATGGGTTTTAAAAGGGATTTATAAATTAAAAGTTTAACATTAAAGTTTGAAAATTTATTGTTTGTGATTAATGATTTGAGTAACCGCAGACGGCTATTTAACAACGAGCGTTTATTTTTAATGTGCTGAGCCCACGTGAGCCGACTATCTAGTGTAAGTCCGAGATACTTGACAGAAGAATAGGAGGGGATTTGTACTCCATATAGGGAGACACCAGGACAAGGGAGAAGTCTTAAAGTAAAGGTAGTATGAACTGATTTTGATTGATTAATTTTAAATCGCCATTTAGTGTACCATTCTTCCATTAGGTGTAGGTGATTTTGCAAATTGACGGATGCAATCTGTGGGTCAGAGTTATAGGATAAGATAGCTTTGTCATCAGCATAATCTGCAACAATGGTGTTAGGAGTTGTGGGTTGGTCTGAGGTATAGATATTAAAAAGGATTGGGGATAGGATACCTCCTTGTGGGACTCCCGCATTTATAGAGGCTATGTCAGATACTGAAGAACCAAGACGAATTTGGAAAAAACGATCAGTTAAATAGGATTTAAAAAACAGGTAGTAAGAGGGATGCAAACATTTTTTTAATTTATATAAGAGGCCGTCATGCCATACCCTATCAAAGGCCTGTGAGATGTCAAGAAACGCACTTGTGCAATATAATTTTTTTTCAAGCGAATGCGATATAACATCTACTACTCTATGGATTTGATGTATAGTGGAGTGAGGAGCCCTAAAACCAAATTGGGAATTAGGCAGTATATTATTGACAGTGAGACAGCAAAGTATTCTTTTAAGTAATAATTTTTCAAAAATTTTTGCAAAGAACGGTAACAGACTTATTGGTCTAAATGATGTTGGTAGGTCAGGGGGTTTATTAGGTTTAGGAACTAATATGATAGTTGAAAATTTCCATAATAGAGGGAAATAAGAGAGTCTAATGATTGCATTAAATATATGGGTTAAATGTATAATAGCTTTTTTTGGAAGGCATTTTGCAACTTCAGCTGTTATAAGGTCAAAACCAGGGGATTTGTTGGAAGGGTATCTAGCAATAGTGAATTTTACGTCATTTGGAGTAAAACATTTAACTGGAAGATAGAGTGGTAAAGGTGCATCAAGGTATGTCATTACAGAACTAGTCATTTCAGGTGAATGTATATTCGGATGAGGTTTGAAAGTGTCAGCTAGATGTTCTTTGAATAACTCTGCCTTTTCCAAGTCAGAGATAGCTAGACTTCCGTTATTTTTTTTAATTGGGAGATTAGTTGTTTTATATCTAAGAGCTTGTTTGGTAGCTCTCCACAGGCTACCATCCTTAGATGTTAGGCTACATAAGTAATTTTTATAGGAGTTAGTTTTGTGTTGAGCAAGCATTTTTTTGAGTTTATTTGCTAACTTATTATATAAGTGTTTATGTGACGGAAGTCTGGTGCGTTGGAACAAAGCTCTAGCTCTACGTTTATCAGAAATTAATTTTCTTATTAGCTCTGGTAAAACAACTGTTTTGTTTTGGCAAGGAGTTTTATCTTCAGTAGCTGTCCAGGCAGCTGTTTGTATGATATTAGTGAGATTTTTTACAGCCTCATCTATGTCCTCAGTATTTTTAAGTTTTGAACTTAGTTTAATTTTCTGATTAACAAGATTATGAAACATATATCGATCTGTGTTTACTTGAAATAACTTGGGATGACTTAGATGAGTTTGTGGAGTTGAATTAATAGTAAGTAGGACTGATGAATGATCAGAGTTAAGCTCAAGGATATTGTCTATAGTATAATTTAAAGTATTCGGTATTTTAGCTACAAAAATATCAAGTATGTCTGGATTTTTACGAATGGACAAAGGCCAATATGTTGGGCCAGGAGGAGCAAGAATATTCAATTTTTTTAATGATACAAAATCATGTAGAACAAGACCACGGGGGTTATTTGAGCGACAGCCCCAAATTTGGTGTTTGGCATTGAAGTCGCCACCGACAATGAAATTACCTTTCAAAGTGTTAAAATAATTGTTGAACAACATGTTCGTGACCTTATGTTTGGGAGGAGAGTATAATGCAGCAATAGTAAATGAATTGTTATTAAGTTTTAAGGATATGGAACAGGATTGTATATAGTCTTGGGAGTAATTGGGAAGAGGTATGAATGGAATAGAAGANTAATACGTATCAAATTATTATTCGAATACAACTTAAAATGTATTGTTAAAACTCGTTATTTTGGGGTATTATGTCTACACATTGTGAATTCCTAAGGATTATTTTACTTTTACGGTACCCTAATATATATACTTAAACTNACACACTGTGAATTCCTGAGGATTATTTTACTTTTACGGTACCCTAATATATATACTTAAAGTGTACTTACACTTCAGTAAAAAAAATAATAATAATAAATCAGGTAAATAATAATAAGCTACAAGGTTAATTTAAAATAAATTATATAATCATTGCTGCGTAATTTCTTTACATACTTTTAAGCAGGGTCTCTTTAATACTTATCAAATTATTGTTAAAACTCGTTATTTCAGGGTGATACGTCTAGACACTGTGAATACCAGAGGGTTATTTTACTTTTTATTAGGTCCTTACACATTTTTAAACGGTTTGAGTTATTTTTTACTAAAAATGTTATTCATAACAGTAAAAATATAATTTTAGAAACTAATTAACTTAAAAGGCTAATTTAAATAAATAAATATTTCATATATACTGCAGACATCTGTTTTAATAATATCAAAATTAATCTTAGTGTTTATTGTTGTTGTAACACGTTATTTAAGCAGTATAAGTTATTTTTAATCAGTTGGGGAGACGCCTATATAATTTACCGCGCCCTTATATTCATATTAAGGTGACCACATATTTTGTTTAAACCAGTTTTATTTTACTGTCTATTACTATCGACTTCACCGTTTTTTTCTGTGATGAGTACTCTTGTTTAAAAATCATGCATTTATCTCCTAAATCTCGAAAACGAAGGTTTTTGTTACAAAATCATTCTCAGTAAAAATGAACAATGTAAGTATATTTATTTATTTTTTTTTAATTTAACATTAACAACTTTTTTTTTTTTTAGACCACTTCTGATTATATCGTTCAAGAATTGGAAAATGAATATCTACATGACATCAGCTCATACCTAGAGAACTTTTGTGCTAATAACTCGAGCAGCGAAATGGAACTTAAAAATGTAAAAAACGACAATCTTAGTGTTTCGGTATGTATATAAAAAAAAAAATAATAAATAATATTAATAATAAATTTTGTACGAAATATTTTTTGAAATTTAATTTTTTATATACATATCATATCTTTTATTAACAAAATAAATATTTTTTGTAGAATACTCCTGTATATAACAGCACACAGTTTCTGGAAATACTAAAAAATATTCCCGAAGAACGTCCATAAATGTTCTCACCCGTCTATTTCAATGACAATGGTGATTTAGTTGAATTCCCTGATAATGAATTGGGAATTCAATGCTATGACGATGAATTTAGTGTTTTAGTAAGCATAATTATTATTTTTTTAAATTTTTTTAAAATTTTTATATCGAAATAAAAAATGTATTTCTGTTAATAGACTCAAGGAACATATGGACTTTGTTACCGCGTCATTGATGACCGGACAAGCCCCGATCACTTCCCCGAAATTAATGATTTGTCAATACTGTCTAATTGTTATCATTGTAAGTTGTTTTTAAATAAACTTAGTTTATTTTAAATAACATATTTTTTTTTGTATTAGCTGTACCAAGAAACGAATCACCTNCATATATATTATAATGTTTATAATATTATTATAATCTGTATTATACTTATCGATTAATGTCGTACATATATATTTTGTCTGAATTATTACTGGTATCCCTCCCATTGTTATAAATTATTACCGTATTTAACAACTGTAATAAATTATTTTTAATAAAATAATAGCTTCGACTGGAAGGATTGCATTCTTCATCCGTCAACGCATTAGAGACGGCAGACGGTCATAATTTTTACAAAGGCATCTGTTTTAAATCCTAATGACATATATGTGTAAACATTTCACTTTAAGACTGAATGTTTTCACGCCATTACAAATGACAAATTTACAAATTTATCAATTAATTGTCTTGGGTGACGTTTATAAAAATGTAACAAGTGCTGTATAACATGTAGAAACCTGAATATTTTTTCTCAGACCACTTGATATACTTTGGTCATTATGCTCGCGATATACGATGTACTTGTGCGATTAATGACCGCGCACCACCATCACTGATGCAGCGGATAATACAGTAACAATCCGTATTTATAAAGACATCAATAAAGATTATATTCACTTTTTGACTAAGCGTTATTAGCGGCTCGTTACCATATTGCTTAAAAATATTCAGTTAAACGTATACAAGTACTAGTATTTATTATTATTTTTTTTTTTTATTTAAATTTAAAATTGAATAACAATGACTGATGTACATTTTACTGATGCTGCACAAGGTAAGTTTTTTTGAATGTATATTTCGATATTTTCGACACACAAATTGTTTTTACACATTTTTTCACAGCCACCTCTTCCACGACTGTTCCAAACCACCATTCGGTTAAACGTAGGGCTAACAACAGTAGGGTAAAATCCAAAAGGTTGCGTATACAATTGCCGGACGCGAAAAATTTCATCGAGATTGATTCCGCATTGAAGCGAGGAGCCGTTTGGTTTTATCGGAAAAACGTGGAAAATTTCGCGAGCTATCGAGATTTTCTGCGCGCCGTTAAACCCGAGCTGGTTGCCAAACTCGGTGAAATCACAGCTGTTCGGTCTATTAAATATAATCTCAAATTGGAGGCCTCTTACCATATACCGCGATCGGAAGCACCGCCCGAGGACCGTGCCTTCAAGACACGGGCTAGGGCGTTGTTCTCTGACACGGATATTGTAGGTGCGGTCAATGACGAATTAGAGATTATTCTCGCTGAGGAAGACGTGTACTCGGGTAGGGGTAGCGGATTCACGCTAGCGCATATCGACGGACTCATGCTCAGCGTATACAAGTATACGCCCCTCACCGGCTCATCATATATTCCGGTCCCACCTGAAATTTTCCATAGAAAGGCAATCATCAACCCACAGAATAAAAAAGACGAGTGCTGTTTCAAGTGGGCCATTTTGGCGAGACATGTTAAGGCTCATGATAAATCTTTCGTCGGTAAACATTATTTTGACGAGGAACACAGGTATGATTTCACGGAGTTGACGTTCCCCACACCAGTGTCCCAAATTAAAATATTTGAACGACGTAACCCTAACGTGTCCGTCAACGTGTACGGCTTGGAACGGGACAATGTTAATATGAAGTGGTCGGTGTATCCGCTAAGAGTCGCCGACCAAGAGCAACAAAATCATTTTGACCTGTTGTATATCGGTGACTCTGACAAGTATCATTACGCGTACATTTCAAATTTTTCGAGGCTCGTGCGCAGCCAAAAAACGCAACATCATGGCCGTATATACACTAATAAACGTCGAATCCGCTATTTTGATATGCGACATGCATATATTTAGATAAAGTCTGTACGTAAAATGTTAATTTTAAAAAAAAAAAAATTTTTTCAAAACATTGTGTGCCAGATGGCTGTATTGATGATTACACTATAGCACTTGAGATTAATACAGCAGATGGCCCAACGCGGCGTCNACACCAGATGGCCCAACGCGGCGGCGACGGCGTCGGCGATGTCGCCGTCAATTAGATTAATTGTTATTATACGAGTTAATAAGCTTGACCGTTATTCGTATAGTGAATAATAAATCAATATTTTTTTTTGTAGACAATATACAATAATGACGACTTTTCAAGTTTTCTTATAGCAAAACACATTCTTAAATAAACACTACCGCCGCCGCCGCCGACGACGACGACGTAATCACTGGAACATATATATTATAATGTTTATAATATTATTATAATCTGTATTATACTTATCGATTAATGTCGTACATATATATTTTGTCTGAATTATTACTGGTATCCCCCCCATTGTTATAAATTATTACCGTATTTAACAACTGTAATAAATTATTTTTAATAAAATAATAGCTTCGACTGGAAGGATTGCATTCTTCATCCGTCAACGCATTAGAGACGGCAGACGGTCATAATTTTTACAAAGGCATCTGTTTTAAATCCTAATGACATATATGTGTAAACATTTCACTTTAATTTTCACGCTATTTTAAATAACTATATTTTACTATAATAATTAAAACGTATATAAATTAGACATGCAGACGTATCAAATATACGATGGAAAACTGAATTTTTTGTCTTTCCTTAATACTACTATATGCATGGGTATGAATGACGTAGGTGGCCAGTGTTCATTACAATCATTTATCTAGTAATATTCTAATATCTTTGTCGTACACACCTCATCCGTTATCACGAAATAATTATCTAAAAGATATTTGGAAAGGAGGAGGGAGGGGGCAGCAGCATAACATTGTATGCTGACTTCTAATAGGTTCTCAGTATTTGTTAATCTATTGTGTGCGCAAGATGGATTATTTCAATGATATATCGGATAAATTGAATTTTCTTGTTGAAAACGATCCGACGGATAGAGTTTTCAAACTAGTTAGTAAACTATCGAGATTTACAATATTTTGCAGAACGTCTAGGCGATAAAGTCAACGGTGTAGGTGGAGACTTTTTACATTACAAAGGTTGTGAATTATCGGATATGGGAAAAAATTCGGACAATCATGAATGTGCATGCTATATTACGAACTTTTGGATTCAATCGAAACAATTGCAAAGACGACGAATGCGAACCGCAGCGACAGTAAAGCCTATTGGACCTTGAGACTTTAATCACAATGGCTACACCAAGGTGT